GGGAAAATGTTGAAAGAAGTTGAGCTGATATTCTCCCCACACACTCCATTTTGACACTAGCACTAACTGAGCAAACAAAATTGACCAATAAATGCTATAAAATTATTCTTCCACCAAAATAGTCTTTTTATTTTCTGCTTTCTTTTTCACTGAAATTAAATATTTATTTTCCTGAAGGCTTTCTGCAAACAAAAACAGAAATGTAAATAAAGATGTTCATTCCATGTTCTGTGTGATCATACAAAATATAGTTTTAGTGTGTTAGGAGCTCCTGAGTAGAGAGAAATAGCCAGTGTCACAGGTACTGTCATTGTAAGTATTGTCCTAAACAAGCAGTGGTTTGTTTAAATGCACAAGTCACACATTCCAATCATTATTCTATTCATTATCACCTTTAATCATAATGCATACTGATGTCATCTGATCTAGTATGATTGATGCAATATTTAGATTGTTGCTGCATAGAGTAATATTTTTTACAGACCTTTTTTCAATTTAGCTGAATTTTTTCTTGAATGGTGACCATTTTTTAGCTATTTGGCCTTATTTAAAGGAAAATATGAGCTCAGTATTGAAGCAGTTGAGAAGTTTTAATTATTCTACTTTCAGCACATTTAAAATATTCCATAGATCAAGCATTCACACAAACATTAAAAAGACAGATGGAAGCAGAATGATAAATATTTGGAATAGTTTACTATGATTAATATGTTCATATGTAGCAAAATCTAACTGTAGCTGCTCAAAAGTAAGTTCCGTTTATTTTAATGGACTTGCTTCTGAATCAGTCTGCTTACATGCCTTTCTCTTTCTGAAATGATTAATGGCTCAAATTATTTAGAGATGAGCAGGAACTCTAGGTTGAATATGGACTTGCAAACCTTCACAGGCAAGCCAGTAGTGTGAAATATATTATAAAAGCTACATAAAACTATGACTGTTGTATGAATCAACAACTGCCAAGTAGACATTAAAATGCACAATAAAGTGTTAGGAATGGGGTGGCAAACTGTACTTCTCAAAAGACCAAATTTGAGGGAACTGTCTGGTCTAAATAAAACGACTCTTCATTAAATGTACTGAATATTATATGCTAAGCTTTGTCCTCGTAACAGAAGAAAATATTTCAGAGTCTATTTATTTTGGTACCATTCAAATCAGTCTGTTATTCTGATTTGAAATTTACCCTCCAGGTCAGTAGAGACTCTGGGCAGGTGGATAAATTAACAGCATTATGATATACAATATCTACTCAGAAGTAAGTTCTATTAGTTAAATGATGCTTAATCCCAGGTAAGTGGGTCTAGAATTGTGACATAAGTGAATGATAGGAAGGTTTATTAGTATTTATTGATGTTCTTGCTCTTTGTAAAACGTTTGTTTTGAATGACCATAACATTGCTATCTCCGTGGAGTAGGGATGTGTGTTGAGATGTACCGCTACTGAACTTGTGTTTAATTATCCTAATAGCAGCACTGACAGATTTCAACACAAGTGTAATGTATTGGAATTTGCTTCTTGTGAAAATCTTAGTTTGAGCAGTAAAAATTTCATTTCACAATGTTGGCCATGGTGTATACTGTTCAAATATGTTAAAGGATTGTGTAACAAGGTGTTTGAGGCTATTTAAGTATAAGTAAATATATATTTCAATTAACACATGTTTAAAATGTATTTAAAGTTCAAAGCCATTATCTTCAGATTGTTTTTAGAAGCGGAAAGGATGAATGGCTTATAGGATTTGACAATCTTGACCTATGTCATTCTTTCCACCCCACCCCAAGTCATTTCTCATTCCTTGAAGGAGCTTTCTAGGAAGTGATGATCCACTGCACATTTATTGAAGAAAAACTACTATTAAATATTATTGATGAAGAGCACTCTCTCTTTTACAGATTTTTTTTAAAAAACCATAAACAGAACTGCTACTTGTACAGCTTGTACATAAACAACACCAAAGGGGCAAGATAGGCCTTTACCTTTATACCTGTATAAACTCCTTACTTTGTTCCTGAATGGTGAAGGTAAAGGAGAAGCAACGCATTTTGTTTAATTTGACTGTTGCAAAGGATTAGCTTTTCTGTAATTAGGCACATTCTGTGGCCTGTGTTACTGAAGGGCTAGGGGTCGTTTAAAATCAGAAATCATTTTTTCATTGTAGATTCACTTATATTCTTTCTAAAAAGGGAAAACACATCATTGCCACATATACATACAAGTATAAATTTGAAATATCAAACCTAAAGTATAGTTCCTTGAAGTGAATCTCATAGATTTCAATGGCACTTGCTTCTAAGCAAGTGTCATTTCAAGTAAACATGTTCAGGACACAGGTGTAAATATATTTATAGACTCTCATCGTTCAGAGCCAAAGTACTATTTCTTATACCACAATAATGGCAGTAGGTGGTAATACTTGGAAATTTTGAATATTAAATTAGCCATAACAAGGTTATGGACACAGTCCCTCAGTCCTAAGGACTTCAGACCTCAAGTGTTTCTACTAGACATTTGGTTCCCAGTGCTATAGGTGTTTTCATTGTGCTGATATGCA